CCCCAAAACCCCAAACCCCAACCCTCAACCCTAAACCCTAAACCCTAACCCCTAAACCCTAAACCCTAAACCCTAAACCCTAAACCCCCAAACCCCTAAACCCCCAAACCCCCAACCCTGAGGAAGATCGAGCTCGCGGCGCCAATGCAGCCCCGACAAGATCCCGACGGCGCACCAGGAGCCTACCCTTGCCAGAAGGAGCTCGCTTCTGGTGCTTTTAAGGATTGAGGGTTTAGGCTTTTTGTGGTTTAGGGTTTAGGGTTTAGGGCTTTCTTGGCTTAGGGTTTAGGGTCTAGGGCTTTTGTGGTTTATGGCTTTTTTGGCTTAGGGTTTAGGGTTTAGGGATTTTGTGGTTTAGGGTTTTGGGTTTAGGATGGTTTAGGGTTTCAGGGCTTTGGTGCTTTGGGCTTTGAGGCGCTGGGGCTTTAGGGCCCGCAGGGTTTATGATCCAAAAGTTTAGGGTCTTACGGCACGGACTGTTGACCTGTAAGGCCTGCCCACGTGAGCTTTCTGCGGGTTTCAGCAAGAAGGATCGTCTTCAGGGTTCAGGGGTTCAGGGCTTCAGGGTTCAGGGGTTGAGGGTTTAGGGGTTTAGGGTTTAGGGGTTTAGGGTTTAGGGGTTCAGGGATTAGGGATCAGGGATTAGGATTTGGGTCTTGGGGTTTAGTGTTTAGTGTTTATGACATCCTATGTTCCCACAGCATATGGCTCAAACCTCCGGTTCCTCACCTCAACCCGAAATCCAACCACGAACCCCAAGTCCGGAACCCGACGAAAACCCTAAACCCATTATCAAACCACCCCGAAACCCCTAAACCGTTTAGGGTTTAGGGTATAGGGTTTAGGGTTTAGGGCCTAAACCCCTAAACATTTTTGACCTATCAAACCGACAAAGAGACACCAACGCGGTCCAAGGAATGGGAATCTGCCAAAGGATAAAGAGATCCTTGTAACTGGTGTTTCGACGGGGTAGCTTTTGTTTATTCGTTATGAATCATACTTCTACCCCCAATTTAAATCCTTGCAAGGTTACTCCCCCGATGCCGCCCCGCCCCCGCTACTGAAACAGACTGAAGCCTCGCTTCCGCTCAGCAGACGCCAGGGCACGCCGCCCCGGGCCAGGGCGCGGCCCATCGCACCGACCTTGCTTGAGGGGGTCTAGGGGTCGAGGCGTATGACGGAGGGTCGCTGAAGGAAGTCGTGCTTAAACCCTAGACCCCACACCCTTACCAACTAAGGGTCAGGAGGTCGGGTTAAAGGATCAAACCTGAACCCGTGGAGCAAGCACTTGAAAGGCCCCGAGGCATAGCTTCCTGGCGTCTTAGTGCCGTGCCTATCTATCTATTTATCTATCTATCTCTCTATCTATCTGTCTCTCTATCTATATATCTCTCTCTCTATCTCTATCTACCCATCCATCCACGCATCCATCCACCCGTCCATCCATCGATCGATCTACATGTCTATCTATCTATCTATCTATCTATCTATCTATCAATCTAACTGTCTGTGTCTGTCTCTGTCTCTGCCTCTGTCTCTGTCCTTCCGTCTCTCTGCCTGTCTATCTGTCTATCTCTCCACAGGACTGTATGCATTTATCTGGTCATTTACTGATCATGTCTTGACTTACTTAAACCCGAAACCCTAAACCCTAAAACCTAAACTCCTGAAGGGCTTTTGAGACCGCCGATGTGCCTTCCTGAACAATGGCTAGCGGATGATGTTTGGATGCATGCCAGGTCGGTCGGTCTCCGAAGCGCTAAACTAAACGTGTGGACGCTGAAGAGGTTGATGTTTGGATGTACGGCAAGCCCGGCCCCGAAATGCTTAACCCCAGTGTGGGAGGCTGAAACGGTTGCTGTTTGCATGCATGCCAAAACCGGCCCGGAATGCGTAACCCGTGTGGACGCTGAAACGGTTGGTGCTTGCATCCATGCCAAGCCCGGCCCGGAAACGCTGAAACGGTTGATGTTTGGGTACATGCGAGGCCGGTCTCAGTGTGGACGCTGTGAGATGCGTATTTCCTCCCCTCGATGCGAGTTAAACCCTCACCTCGTAGTAAAGTCGGGGTTGCCTCTTAAACGCAAGAAGCACCGCCTTGTTCTTTTGTTATCCCCTGACTGCTGGCAAAGCCAAGGGCCGGTAACGACTTTCACCTTTCACAGCTGACTTGTGTTGATTCTCTGTAAGACAGGACACCTCCTACGCCTCAGACTCGCAGGCCTGTTTACGAAGGAACTGCCGAGAGCCTGCACCCTAAACCCGAAACCCGAAACCCTAAAACCCTAAACCCTACACCCCAAAACCTGAATCCCCTAAATCTCCCTAAATCCCCTAAACCTTACACCCCAAAACCTGAATCCCCTAAATCTCCCTAAATCCCCTAAACCCCACGGCCTTCAGCCCCAAACCTCCAAACCTCAAGTCCTGAAAACCCACAGCACCCGAAGAAAAGCCCTAAACCCGAACCTGGAGACCCCAGATCTTGCACCCTGAACCCTACACCCTGAACCGTACACCCTAAAGGGCTCACTCGCTTTTGGCCTCCGCTGGAGCTCAGACCCAATCCCTCTTTAGATCCCCGTTGTGACACTTCCTACTCAGCTCCTGAACAAGAACCCCCATAGAACGCTGAAAGGAAGCCTAGATTATGCTAGCCTAAAGCCTAAACCCTAAACCCTAAACCCTCAACCCCAAGCCCTAAACTCTAAACCCCAAGCCCTAAACCCTAAACCCTAAACCCTAAAACCCCAAACCCCAAACCCCAAACCCCAAGCCCCAAAGTGCTCCTTAGCACGAGCCCAGCAGACTTGGAAGCAGGGACCCGGCGGCTGCCATCGGCCGAAGGGCGGCCTTTGGGGCGCATTTGGTGCTTTCCAAGGTCCCGTAAGGGGGATCTGAAGGGGTTCCGGGGTTCCTAGGGATCTGAAGGGGTTCCTTTAAGGCTGCGTTCTAAGGGATCTATAGGGGTTCCTAGGGATCTGAAGGGGGTTCCTTTAAGGCTGCGTTTTACGGGATCTATCGGGGTTCCTAAAAATCTGAAGGGGTTCCTTTAAGGCTGCGATATAAGGGATCTGTACGGGATCCTTTAAGGCTACGCTTGAAGGGATCTCTAGGGGTTCCTTGAAGGGTTCCTTCTGAGGGATGTATAGGGCTTCCTTGAAACGATCCTTGAAGGGTTCAGCGTGTAGGGTTTAGGGTTTTAGGATGCTTCAGGACCACAACAGGACCTTGAGCCCTAATGTAGAAGACAAGGTACCGTTTACTCATCGTTGGAAGAGGGCTGCGAATGTGAGCTGGTGGGATCTTTCAGCCTCTCGAAATCACGATGTCGCATTGAATTCTGGATTTCATGTCCCTTACGGCACTACAATATCCCATACTACAATACACTATATTAGAAATGTACTACAATATGCGGAACCATAGTGGATTCCATAATCGGAACGCCTCGGATCCCAAGAAACGACACCTCACCTCATGGCCTCCAATGCCAAAGGCGCTTAACTCCCTAAACTCCTACAGAACCCTTAAAGGAACCCTTAAAAGAACCCTTAAAGAAACACCTAAAGGAGCCCTTAAAGAAACCCTCACGTGAACCCTCGAAAAAATGACCCTACAGAGTGGACGTGCAGTGCAGTGGCCTCCGCCGTGGAGGCGCACCCCGAAGCGCCAATCGCCGCCCAGCCGCCTTGGCCATGGAAGCTCTGCACAGCGCGGTTTAGGGTTTCGGAGTTAATTAAGGGTTTAGCGTTGCTATGGAGCACCTCACCAGGGACTCAGGCTGAAGTATTCGGAGGGGCACGTAAGTAAAGTGCCGTTGGTTGAAGTCCACAACTCTGGAGGTCAGCAATCGGGTTTGCGGTGCACGGGTTTTGGGTGCAGGTTGGGTGATTCGGAGCAGATGAGAGCTTGGGTCTACAGCATGCGAAACTCGCTCCGGTAGTGGCCTCCTACTGGCCGCTGGAGAGCTTTGGAGTCTTGTGCGTGCACCCGGCATGGCAAAGTGAAGGCGTGATATGTTCAGAGTATCGGTCTTTGGCGAGTTTACGTGTTTTTTGGGTCTGAGTACTTTCCGGCCATAGCAGTGTCTGCGAAAAGAACCACAGCCGAAGCTCTACAGGACGATGCCATCGCAGCACACTGACATGCTCCATGGAAGCCACTGGCACCTTGAAGCCTTGAGGCTCAAGGCCAAGCAAGGAGCACCCGAGTAGCTGGCGATCGATGGCCGTCCCCTTCGGAGGATCCTTGGCCACCTTCAGAGCGACTTGGGTAGTTTTCAACATGCGGGTCCCTGACTTAGGGTCCTTTTTATGAGGGTGCCGCACAATGTTGGGGACCTAAAAAGGGACCCGAATTTAGAGAACTACCCACTTGCTCCCAAGGGAAATTCAACCTACACGTCTCGACCAGCACCTCTGTCGGCTCTACTCGTTGCCGGACATCTGCCTCTGTCCGGACTTCGACTCACAAGGAAGACTCTGGCATATTTCTATGGCTCCTGGCCACAGAAGTCATGGAAGTCAGCCCGAGCAAACTGCCGCTCGAAACCAAAATGCCCTCCGCACCCCGTGAAGCCCCAAATGTGCTACCTGGTACTGATGTCAGCCTCAGCCCAAACCGAAGCGCAAAAGTAGGAGAACCGCAAAGCCAAGAACACGGAAGCTGCACACGAAATTCATGGCTGTGTCGCTCGGCATCAAATCAAAGCCACTGTGGACGCGGCCACTGCAGCGCTTGGCACCGCGGCCGTGGTCCGCTTCTCACCGCGCAGGGCGAAACCCTCACGGTTTCGGCTTAGACGTGCTGTAACAGGGACGCTCCGGGCTGTCAAAGGCACCGCCGCTAGGTAACGAGCAAGAGCAAGCATTGGTGGCGATGTTGCGACATCGTGCGGATGCCAGCAAAAGCTGGAAGCTACAGGTCAGTTCGTTCTGCACAAACAGACATGGAACGTGTGGCAACCTCCGGACACTTGGGCCTCAAGAAGCTAAACCCTAAACCCTGAATCCCGGCGCCAGACACAAGGTCGAAAGTCCCAATATCTCCCCAAACTCATACAAGCAGATGCACAGCCCACTTTCTCAGTCCACGGCGGGGCCGGACTGAAAGGCTTCCTGAGCAGCGCAAGGACAGCTTGCTCTTCAGGTTGGGGCTCCAGGGATTGAGGGTACGGGGTTTCAGGTCTTAGAGTTGACAATCAAGGTTGCTGTCGTAAATAGTGTAAAGTTAGACAGCGCTACCACTGTGATCATTAAACACTTCTGCTAGCACGGCTATCATCTACCCAGTCCGGCGATATGGATGCTTGTCAGCTCTGTTTTACTGCGAATGAAGCATCGACGTAGCAATGCCTGGAGCCTGCATTGGTCATGCTTTTGAAGACATGACTCTGCTGTGACCCTGACTATGCCCCAATGGCAAACAGCTCTTCTTCTTGTACTACTACGACTACTACCGCTACTACCGCTACTACTACTACTACTACTACTACTACTACTACTGCTACTACTACTACAGTACTACGACGACGACGACGACGACGACGACGACGACGACGACATCGACGACATCGACGACATCGCTGACTGCTTGGGCTTTCCCCGCAAGTGAGTTCAGCAAGCTACCATTTCGTACGTTCACCACTGATATGGCCAGTATGCTTGCGATGAGCAGCAGTACAATGCCTCATATTGCCGAACGATCGCTCTTGTGCATGATAGTTGTCGAAACTACCAATCGTTACACCGCAGTGATGTCTCTTGCTTCATAACCAAGCTGGCCAAGGGCGAGCCTGCAGCCATTTCGCCGCTTCATCAGCAGCCGCCTCCAAGCCCACAGTGGCTCGAACGTTTGGGGAAGTTCGCGGGTGCAGGAACTAAGAGGAGGGTTCAGAAGGCTCCAGTTGGTCATTTTGGGCAACCTGGCCAATGCAGTAACGATCCGACCTCAAGTGCGCGGAAGTCTAATGAAAGGAACAACTCATGACCTCCGTGCCCGCTGCTCTTTGAAGGAAAAGCGGAAAGAGCACAAGAGTTCGTGGAACATCGTCGCAGGCCTCGTCGAAAGTGAGAAGCGACCAAGGTCCGTCCTGTCAGCACTCTTATGGGAAAGCAATCAAAGCTACAATGCCGCGAAAAGAGGCTTGTGGTTGTTCAGAGGTCCCCTGCCAAGTCTAAGCACGCTGGAAGACCTTGACCGGATCACCTCTAACAACTGATGCGATGATGTGATGTGGCCCTTAGCTGGGACCTCATCCGAAGCAAAGGGCTAGCTCACGCACAGTCCGCGAGCCTCAAGGACTTCAACGCAAAGCGCTTGCGAGGGGTCCTCGGTCGGTCACAGACGGCCGGTTCTGTTGAAGAGCACAAGAATCTGAATCGAGGTGACCACGACCTTGCCTATGACTCCAGGAGATGTTCACGTGATCAACATTGCCATCATCTGTGCTGCCATCATGAACCAAATCATCCGTCATCACCCGTATTAGAACAGAATTTGCTGTAACTCCAGCACATGCACCATCACCATCACCGAGTTCATCGCCTGCCTCAGACCTACAAGGGAAAGTACACAAGCTGTAAGCCAGCCCAAAAGAATCTTCATACCTACTCTCCACTCCTGATGAATCTCGGTTCTATGGCAGACGTGAGTGAGACGGTGCCAGGTCCCAGGCCACGAATCCATCGTTGAAGCAAGCAGTTTCCAGCATTCAAAGGTTGCAGTTAAACAAGGACTGTCACTTGATGAAAAGAAAAGAGTTTGCTTGTACGCGCCTTAGACAACGTATTGCCACTTGTACGGTATTAGGGTAAAACTGTGGGGTTGTCGAGTCTCATGGTTGAGCCGTTTGGCTTCTGGCTCTGGCTATGAAAGATCCATGAATGAAGTTCGCACGAACGAGTAAAATATCTGAGTAGTGTGTCGTAGTAATTCCGCAGACTTCGAGCCGGGAGCTCGACCGCTGCATCTGGTGCATCTGGTGCCTTCGGAGTCTCCGGCTTGGGCGGATCAGACTGCTCCTCCGGGCTACGTCGGCGAGTTCTGTTTTGTCTCTGTCGCTTCAGCTCTAAAGGACTCTAAAGCATCGAAGCACCCAGCTTCAAACTGGCACTCATCAAGTTGTCCTTCTGGCCAGAATGCTAGATCCGGCGCGTGCTACGTGAAACAAAGAGCGAGGATACACAGAGCTTGTTTCAATAACTCTGAATCGCCCCATTTATGGATTCTTGAAATTCCTGTAGGCCCGCATGGACCATGTCGAGGCTTTGCCTCAACAGTGCTATGAAATCAGCACTAGTCACTAGTCGCCCAGTCATAAAGAGCTGGGCTTGGTGAATTCTGCAGTCGCAATGCGGTGGCTTTGCCAAACCGAGATACGATTCGCCCAAGCATAGAAGGGCAAGGCTTCGGAATCCTGAAGACTTCTGTATACGATGTGCTGGTCTGCACACGTCCAGATGATGAAGACCGAGGCTGTGTGTCTCAGTTCTACCAGTTCACGTGAACAACTCTGGGCGGCGGCGCAGCTTCGGCATCTTGTGCAAGAAATGTACACTCGGATGCGCTTCCGATGCCGAAGAAGGTAGGATCGTCGTTTTGATCTTCTACTATCATACAAATTTTTTGGCCATCAATGCATCCTGGCTGAACAATGCATCCTTCAGCCAGAAAAACTTCATTGTCTGTATGAAAATAGTATCCCAACTGCGCCACCTCCCCATCCTGGTCCAGCATCGCGAATGGAGAACGGAAGAACTTGCCGTTGCACACTTCCCTGCCACCACCGTACACACACAGCTCGTCTACGAAGGGCGAGTCTTGATGCTCCACCGTCATGGTCGCTTTGGTGCGCTCTTGCTCTGTTCCTCTCGACCATGGGGCCTCAACTCCATGGCGCATGCTCAAAGCTTCCTCGTTAACAAAAAGCTTTGTCCAAGTGGAGCCGCCCTCGTTCTTCAGAAGCTCCCAATGCGATGACCAGGTTTTTGGCGGCAAGGCAACACGCCTGATGTAGTACCTGTGGTGCTGGGTGTGCTTGTACATACCGAAACCACAACTTGCATAAACACCTTCGGCATCGGGATGGTCTGAACATGCCGACACCCTGAGTATGTCACATTGAGCCGGGAAGGCTTTGCGGACAATACTGAGATCGAGCTCACTACTTTCCGGCGAATCTCCTCCGGTCCGTACCCAACCGAATACAGGCACCAAAGCCTCCAAGCAAGCTGCATGGCAATTGTCCCAGTTGTTCACTTCATACAGCGGCTCAGACTCATTGAGATCTCCTTTGTCCGAGATCTTATGAAGTCCCCAGCCCAAGGAAGCTGGCCTGCCAGGATCAAAATTCCACTTGCCGCAAATTGCAAACGGCTTCTCTCGATGTCTGTAAATGCCATAGTCACCTTCTTGCTCATAGATCCCACTGGCGTCCGATTCATAGGCACCCGAAACCTGGCAAGCACAACACAGCTGCAAACACGCAGCCGAGCAGTCAGAATCAGCACGATTGCAGGCAGGGCGCCAAAATGGTGTCGTTCAAGAAATAAGTACCGCAGGCTCGCCTGAACACGGCATAGATGTAGCTTCGAGGTAAAGCCATCAGAAAGTTGGCAAAGGAAACACTGCAAGACAGGACAATGGACAGCATCACCTCGGGCTCAGTACCAACGATCAACACTGTATGTACACATGCCACGAGCATGCAAAGTTTAACAAATGCACAGCAGAGGGGCCATTCTATTGTAGCGCTTCTCAACCAGGTACATCAACTGAAGGACTGCTTGCAAGGCATCTTCACAGAAGAACCTCAGCGAGCTCGTTGCCAAAGTGACGAGCCGACGGGTGTGAGCAAAAGAGTTTGCTCCGGAGGTAGCATTGAGGCTTCGTGCTGCCTTCTGGCTTGATCCCAGCATGGTCGCAACAAGTCGCACGAGGCGACGCGCGGCAGGAGGATCAATCCAGTTCACCCAGCCAGGAATTGCCAGGAGGAATGGCGTCATCTCGTCCAGCTTGGAAGACTTGCTGCTCTCCCGCAGGATGTGATCAACTGTAGTTCCTTCCTCTGCCCTTCGGCCTGCCGTCATCACTTCATCAGGATGAAAAAGATCTAGCTCCGGAAGCACTTTCAACAGCGCCTCAACATCACTGCTCTCAAAATCTTCATTCACGGCCCCTATGAAAGCACGGAAGCCGAACTTTCGCTCGGGATCTGTGCCATCGTCATCCGTGAAGAAGTGGAAGGTGACAGCACTCCCATCAACAAACGCGAAGCGGTTCTTGAAGCTACTGCCACTCATCATACACGTCCCACGCACATCAGGATCCAAATCAACCACTTCCCCGTCAGGATCTCCGACGTAGAGTTGTGTAGAGGTGTCGAAGCAACAAGATCTCTTCGAAAGCACGACGAAGAGCTTCTTTGCCCAAGGTATCTCGACTGTGTGCTTTCCGGCATCTTCTGCCGAGTAGGGATGGTTCGTTTCGAAAGTTGTCCAGCTAAGGGCAGATTGCCTCAAGTAGGACTTGATCTTCCTCTCTGTGCTTCGCATGGAAGGCGCTGACAGTAGAGCAGCCTCTAGCCTGAAGATGTCGATAGTCTCCTTGGGTGAGGACACACAGAAACACGTCTGATGCTTTCACTCGGAACTCAAAGAACGGTCTCTGGGCTTAGGTTGGGTGAAGACCACACAAAAGCATGTGCGATGCTTTCACGTCCAGTTTGTAAGCCTCGGAGC